TGTTGAGACAAAAAGACAAATAATTAATTAAGATATTATACACTGAGAATTCTTTAAAAGGTAATTTCCATTTCAGTTAAATTTCATATTGGACGTTCGCTCCAAATACTTTTCAAGACTTCATATAAAGACAACCTGTGTCCATTTACAAACTTCACTGAGTAGGAGAGACTGCTATAAAATAGAACACAGATTCCTGATGCTCCTAGAATGGCAGACGACAGCCTAACCCTCCACCCAATAATTTAACAAAATCTGTAAACCAACACAAACATTATGTCCTGCCACCTTTCATGGGTACATCACTGTGTCCTTGAAAATCAATCCATCCTACTGCAGGCTCTTGGTTCTTCAACAATGCAACTTCAAGAAGTGATGATCACCACCACTGGACTCTCCCTCATACAAACTATAAAGAAAACATTTGCTAATAACCTTTACTATCTATCAGTTCCAAGTTTACTGCAATTCTCAACTTTTCACACAATTCAGCACCCAAGAAAAGAATTAAGGTTTCAAAAAGATCCCCAATTCTTTAAGTCTGCAAAATGATCACTTTTAATCCATCCCTCATCCTCCTCTTTTCAATCTGAAAATATTGTACCTGAGGTAAGCATTTCTAACACTTTCTTCAGCCAAGTGTTTAACACTGAAATTTAACTCCATTTCTCTCACTCTCTTTTGCATCATTTCTGATAACTTTACAAAGAACATTTTTTAAATTTCTTATCTCTTTTTACCACACTCAATCACGGACCATGAGAGAGAAGTGGCAAAAATTCCTCTCAAAAAAACCCTCTTTCCTCCCAAAAAAACCCTCCTTCCAGCTTTCCTGTACATCAGCATACTTGTACTGTTTCACTGCAAAGAGAAGAGGAAAAGAACAAAAGAAAAAAAGGCATTCCTACCCTCCGTGTACCATGAACTAGCTCTCCTCTGTCCCAGGAGAAATACATCTGGGTTTTTGTCAGTTTAAGAGGAAAACCAGCTTACATAGATTTTAAATAAATAAATCAATATTATATCAATTTGCAAATCAGCTCTGTGTTTTCCAGTTACATAGGACTTCCAATACAAATCGGATTTCTCACAAATAAGAGTAATGCTTTTGCATTACCCTACATATATCTAAGAGCTTTTATGGCAAAGATTTCACCATCTTAAGCTGCCACATCCAAATACATACAGAAAGGCACAAGCAACAAGCTATAAAATCACTTATATGAAATAGAGAAATGAAACAATGCTGGCTCAAATCACATTTACAAACACATTACAAGCAATATTACACAATTATTAAGCAAAATACATTACAAGCATTATAATACGACCCAAAAACACTCAATAAAGAAACAACTATGGTGGTCAAAATCATGAGCACACCTACCTACCAGGTCTTTTAATGCTTTCTAATTTTTTCATATCCCTGGACAGAATGAATATATCAGAAAACTATTGTAACTATATAGAGAATAAACAAGGAATAACTATTAGTAAATTAAACTATAAACCAAACTTATTATCTGTTTATTCAATTTACTGGAAAATGTTTACTCCGTACATTAAGTAAACAACAGAACCCCCCCAAAACTTCCAGCTAATTATGAACTTTAATTAAAATAAAGCTTTTAGCACCACACGCTTACTTTAATACAACACTTCTTTTACTAATTCACACTCCTCCTTCCCTTTCCCACTCCCACTAGTGGTCAAAACCAGATTTATGCAGTGAAAAGAAATTCCCCTTTAAAAAGTGAATTGTGGGTAAGAGGATGAGATTATAAATAGCAGCTGGGTAGAGCTCCTTAAAGAATGAAGACACTTGAGTACCCAGGGTACTACAACCAAGTGTAACACCACTTCTTCAAACTAAGCTAATGAAAGGAGGTAAGACTGGATTATAACCACCAGAAAGGTAAAAGCATAACTTCCCCCTGCCCTAACTATGCAACTAGTGCAATAACATAATGGCAAAGTAACGTACAGAGCATCTCTTCTGAAATTGCTATATGTAATTATATATAATTCACAAAGACCAATACCACGTAGGAATGCTCCAGTTTGTCAGGAATCATTTACCTTCCTCGGTCATTTGCTGCTTTCTCTTCCTGCAGCTCCCTGAATTAATAAATATGTTCCAATTTTTCAAGAAATGAAGCAGGTATACTAGAGACAGAAATCTCATTCAGTACAGAAACACGAACATTCCCCAGAGCATGTTCAATCACACACACTAATTAACAACCTTGCTGGTACCAGCAGCATATCGCTCCTCACTACCAGAAGAGGATGACATACTTTTTCAGCGCATTTTGTTCATGTGTGCTAAAACAATTAGATTTAAGAATTTGAGGTTTTAACACTGGATCCTGGTGACCCTATGCTCCCGGTCCATCCGTGGTGCTACTCTCCCTCTCATTAAAGTTCTTGTTCTTCGTGGTTTTCCCTTTCTCACTGTTGCATTTCACAGTGGACAATTTTCTGCTGTTTAGGATTACCAGGATCACAAAAAGCAGCAAATGCTCTTGAGACTCCTGGCTGAAGGATCTGCTGGTGACCGACACCATCACTGACATTGGCCTCAGCAGAATACCACGGATACTGTCACATCAAGTGTTAGCGCATCTTTATCCATCACGTAGAGTTCAAGATTTCTCAGGACCTGACAGCAAGGCTAAATTTGTGTCACATTTCATAGGCCATCATAAAACGCAAGCGCAATACCTTGAATTGCATTTCAACACTTCACAGCATGGAGTAGTTCAAGAAAATCAGTCTCTTTTACAAATCACTGTCTCTCCTCCTTTCTCCACCTCCCGAAATCCACATTTAGAGCCTGCTGAGCTGCTACAGTTAAATGTAATAGCTGAGGTAAACATCAGATTAAGTGATACAGTTTTGTCAGTCTAAAGCAATTTTTAGTAAGAGTCATAAAATGGTGTTGAACAACCTTAGAGCCATTGATAACTGCAGCTTTAAACTATCATGACAATCATTTTCAAAAGAGCTTACACCACCTGTAATTTTCAGTTGTACCAACACAGATGGTGGAAAGCACCACTGAACATTAGGCCATTATCACATATAGCAAGTTAAGTTTGTGAAGGAGAAAATCTTTACAAACACAGATATGACATGGATGCCTGGAACACACCCCAGACTATATAAATTTAATGAAGAGTACATTTAAATATGTTTGAATGCAAATGAAATAGTTTACTATCTTGTACCAGGTTATTAAAATTGTTATTTAAATAGTTGTAAAAACAGAAGAGCTTGAGAGTTCAAGAGGAGCGTGGCTGCCCATTTCCACCCCAGGTCACTTAGTCCCAACACAGAATTAACAACCCTTACCCTAAAGAAACTGAGCTAAACGAGGCCAATGAGGTCAACAATGCAAAGGGTCTGACACAGGGAATTAGATCTCAAGTCTCAGTACAGACACAGTTTTAAGCCCTTGTTTGCACAGAGCTACTGAGAGAAAGGCAGTAGGACAGGGCAAGGGAGAGCAGCGGCAGACAAGACCCTTCAGGGAAAGGTGCAAGGCAAGGATGATGAAGATCAGAAAGAGAAGAAAAAAAATGAAGGTTGTAAAGTCAAGGGAGGGCAACCTGTTAGAAGAAGAGCGGACAAAGTTGGCCAATACAACAAGTAGATGATGGAGCACTGGCTGTGGCTTGACTCAGGAACAGACCACTGGAGACAAAGCCAAATGTTCACAGGCTGAGGCACACCTGTACCACTTGCTGCCTGTCTCTCCAGATTAAAGCAATGAGTGCAGTCAGGTGATGAACAGCCAGGCAAGGCGTTGCTTTAGAGAGCTGTCGTGGACAAGAGGTGGTGTGATTACTAGCAGCCATGTGAGCGGGTGTGCTGTGCTATGGAACAGCTGCGGCTCCGCTCCTCAGGCGCACTTACAGCCGCAACACCAGTGCCATTAAGGTATGGTGTCAGGAGGAGCTGGTGGCCTAGAAAAGAAGGAGCTGCCTGAAGGCCAAGCTGTTTTAGCTGCGCTGCTAGCTGTAGAAGGAAGAGAGTTCAGACCATTGCCCAGCAAGACTTTTGAAATGGTAAGTCTCCTAGGTTATGCGTTTGTGTAAGGTGGAAGCTGGACTATGAAGCAGTTAATGCTCCAGATGACTACATAAACTACCAATAAATAATGCCTCTAAAATGGAGAGGTAATAGCCCAGGGAATCTGCTTTGAATGACAGGGCAGGAAAGAGAGTGACTTCTTTCCTGCCTTTCCCTTCTGCCATTTTTATGAAATTGGAAAACGGTGGGGAGAAGGATTTAATCAACATAGATGGGTAAGCAGTTTTTTTGAGAGTAAGCAGAAAGGGTTTTTAAAAAAAAAAAAAAAGCCAAGAGAAAACGCTACAGCAGTTCTCCATTTCCTGAAATGCTTTCTATAATACCACAGATAAACTAACTCTATTTCAAAACTAAGTGTATTAGACAACTCCTGTAGGCCAAGTACCATCAATCCTTTATAGTATTAGCTTTACTATAAATGCAGATATCAAGATTGCTACAAAAACTCTCCTAGAAACGTCAGCTTCTTCCGTATCAAAATTTAATTTAGGCAAAGAAAACTTGAATTCTAAAACTTCATAGAAAACAAGGAGTAAGTGAGAGCAGCATGGGTTAACGTTCAGATACAACTTTATCTGATCTAATAAACTATTCTGAAATAACTATTTCAATACTTACTAAGCAGCATCTACAAATCCCATTTACAAATATGTGAGTACCTTTAGAAATACCTCCCTCAGGATCACTGTGCTGAAGCATTACAACTCTCTCTGAAACTTCTTGACACATGTTGATGACTTCTTTTGACACACACCCCCCCCCGATATTCCTTATCATTAATAAGCTGATGTA